ACTATGTTGAATAGAAGTGGTGAGAGTAGACATCCTTGCTTTCTGCTGGATCTTAGAGGGAAAGCTTTCAGTTTTCCCCATTGATTATGATGTTAGTTGTGGGTTTTTCATATATGGCCTTTATTGTGTTGAGGTAAATTCCTTCTATACTTCTTTTGTTGAGAGTTTTTATCATGACTAAATGTTGAACTTTGTCAGATGCTTTCTCTGTGTCTTTTGAGGTGATTATGTGTGTTTGTGTGTGTGTGTGTTTTTCATTCTGTTAATATGGTGTATTTCATTGGTTGATTCCCAGATGTTGAATCATCCTTGCATCCTAGGGAAAAATCCCTCTTGGTCATGGTGTATTATTCTTGTAATATGCTATTGAATTCTGTCTGCTAGTATTTTGTTGAGGATTTTTGCATCTATGTTCATCAGGAATATTGGCCTATGGTGTTCTTTTTTTCTGATGTCTGCCTGGCTTTGGTATCAAGATGATGCCACGCTCATAAAATGAGTTTGGAAGTGTTCCCTCTTCTATTTTTCTATTTTTTTTTTAATTTAAGAAGGATTGGTATTAATTTTGTGGGGGTATATTATGCTTTTGTATATTGCTGATTTCAATTGAAATTTTTTCTCAAATTTTCTCTCCTATTCTCTAACTACTATTTATGCTCAGGCCTGAAATTTTCTTTGTGGGAAGAGTTTTATTTATAGATTTAATTTCTATCATAGATATTGCACAATTCAGACTTTCTATTTCTTTTTGTATCAATTTTGGTAAGTTATATTTTCCTGGAAGTGTGTCTAGTTCATCCAAATATCAAATGTATTAGCATAAAATTGTTCATAATGATTCTTTAAATGTTTGTAGAATCTAGAATGATGTCTCATTTTCTCATTCTTGCTCCTGGTAATTTTTGCCTGTTTCCTTTTTTTTAATCAGACTTTCTGGGGAGATTTTAAATGTATTTTCCTTGGGTTTAAATTTTTTTTCAAATTTCTTGATATATATGGTTAATTTACATGCTTATTTTTTTCTAATAATACCATAGATGATCACATATATTCCCACAAAAAAGTTTTAGCTCTATCATACATGCTTCATTATGTCATATTTTCATTTTAATTTAGGCTAAAATATTTTCTAACTTCCATTTTGATTTCTTCTTTGACCCATGGGTTATTTAAAATATTATTGCTTAATTTTTAAATTTTGGGGGAATTAAAAATATATTTGCTTGTGGCTTAATCCCACTATGTTCAGGAGCATTGGGTGTTATACACAAACAATGAATCATGGAACACTGCATCAAAAACTAATGATGTACTATATGGTGACTAACTAACTAACTAACTAACTAAATAAATAAATAAATAAATAAAAATTTTTAAAGGTATATTCTGTGTAATTTCAGTCATTTGAAATTGTTTTACATTTGCTTTATGATCCAACCTATGGAAGGTTTCAGTAGTGATTCCATTTGTGTATTTTGTATTATTTGATTTTCTGCATTTTTTAAAACAATTGATTAAATCAGGTTTGCTTATTATATTCTTTAAATATTCTATATCTCTGTTTTTCTTGTCAACTTATTCTATTAGTTACTGAGAGATGAGTTAACATCTTCCTGTATGGTTGTAGACTTGTTCATTTCTCCTTTTAGTTCTGTTGTTCTATATATTACATATTTTGAAGCTATGTTATTAGATGTTTCACATTTAGAACTTATACTTTCATAGTGTATTTATTCTTTATTGTTATGAAACATCCGTCTTTGTGCCTAGTAACAATTCTTGCTTTAAAGACTACTTCAAGTGGCAGCTCAAGCATTCATCAACAGATGAATGGATAAAGAAGATGGGGTATGGGGTATGGTATATATATATATACAATGGGATATTACTCAGCCATCAAAAAGAAGATAGCAGGAAGGGAAAAATGAAGGGGGGGAATCAGAGGGGGAGACAAACCATGAGAGACTATGGACTCTGAGAAACAAACTGAGGGTTCTAGAGGGGAGGGAGGTGGGGGGATAAAAAAAAAGAATGAAAAGAAAAGACTACTTCAAGTGACATTTATATAGCTTTACCAGATTTCTTTTGGTTAGTGTTTCTCCAGTTTATTTTTTTTACCATCTTTTCACTTTCAACCCTTTGTGTCCTTATTTTCAAGGAATGTCTCTTGTAAGTAGCATTTACTTAGGTTTTACTTTTTGATACAATGTGACTCTGTTCACCTTTTATTTGGAGCATTTAGTCTATTTACATTTAATGCAATTAATGACAATTTTAGTTTAAGTCCATCTTATTTAAAATTTTTTGTTTTTATATCTGTTAGTTATTCCTTTTTTTTCTCTTTCAACATATTATCAACTACTTTAAGTTATTGTCCTTCCCTTCTATTAGCTGAAAGTCACATATTCTTTTATTTTGTTTTTAGTTGTTACCCTTGAAATTATAGCAGCATGCACATTTGCTTTATTAGAGTCTAATGTAAATTAGACCCTTTTTCCAAATTCTTTTTTTTTTTGTATCAGCCTTTAGAGATTATTTTTATTTTATTTTATTTTTTTGTTATTATGTTATGTTAATCACCATACATTACATCATTAGTTTTTGGTGTGGTGTTCCATGATTCATTGTTTGCGTATAACACCCAGTGCTCCATGCAGAATGTGCCCTCTTTAATACCCATCACCAGGCTAACCCATCCCCCCACACCCCTCCCTTTTAGAACCCTCAGTTTGTTTCTCAGAGTCCATAGTCTCTCATGGTTTGTCTCCCCCTCCAATTTCCTCCCCTTCATTCTTAATTGAAGAAACTTAGAGCACTATTTCATTTACTCTGCCCATCTTCTGTTACTTTTTCATATATTTTAATTCTTCATTTTTCAAATCCCGTTTTCAAATCCCATTATTATTCCTATAGTATTTTCCAACAGCCAATATTTATTTAGATATACTAATATACTTACCATTTCCATAGTCTTTCATTCATTCCAAAGATTCAGACTTCAATATGGAATTATTTTCATTCTACCTAAAAAGCTCCTTCAGTGTTTCACTTGGTACAGTTCCACTGGTGACACATTCAGTGTCACCTGAAAATGTTTTAGTTTGCCTTTATTTTTGAAAGATATTTTCATTGGGTAGAAACTGAGTTTATCAGGGTTTTTTTTTTCTTTCAGGAATTGAAAATGTTTCATTGTTTCAATGCCTCTAATTCTTTTTTTTTTTAAGATTTTATTTATTTATTTATTTGAGAGAGAGAATGAGAGAGAGAGAGAGAGAGACCATGAGAGGGGGGAGGGTCAGAGGGGGAGCAGACTCCCCGCGGAGCAGGGAGCCCGATGTGGGACTCGATCCCGGGACTCCGGGATCATGACCTGAGCCGAAGGCAGTTGCTGGACCAACTGAGCCACCCAGGCGCCCCAATGCCTCTAATTCTTACTGTCGCTTCTTAAAGAAATAATATAATGTTTTTTCTGTCTTTTTGAATATTTTTTGTCTTTTTTTGCAGTTTCATTGTGATGGGTTTATGTGTGGTTTTCTTATATATTTCTTATTTCAGGATTACAGAATTTCTCAAATCTGGATCAATGCCTTTCATCTATTTGGGAAGATTCTCATTAACTTTTCAGATATTGCTTCTGATCCATTCTTTTATCTCCTCTCCTTTTGAGACACCAATCCACATATGCTAGATGCTTTGTCTATTATATATGTATCTAACTGTATTTATCTCTTAAATATTTTCCATATTTTTAAATATTTTCCATATTTTTATCTCATCATATTTAGCAAGAATATTTCTTCAAGTTCACTTACCCTCTGTTCAGGTGTATCCTCTCTGCTGTTAAACTTACCTATGGAGTTTCTGATTTCAATTAGTTCATTCCACAGATTTAGAATTTTTATCTGGTTATTTTTCATAGATTCCATATCTCTTGCGAAAGTCTCATATTGCATTTTTTTGGACCATATTACTTGTATTATTTTAAGGTCCATGTGTGATAACTCTAATACCTGGATACATGTGGGTATTTTTTGTTATCTGTTTTTCTCTTGGCCCTTTTTATGGGCCCTTTTGGTAATTTCTGCTTGACCACTGAACGTTTCATATGAAAATTCTCCATTTGATCTTTCTCCAGAAAGGAGAAGGCATGTATTTGGAGTGGGGCAGATATATTCTGGCATGTATTTGGAGTGGGGGCAGATCACCATAATGTACTCAGAAGTTGAGCTCATTGGAAGTTGGATTTCAGCTTCCTAAGACCTGATCTATTTCCAATTTGCCTTTATTCCTATGGTGCAGCTCCTCAGAAATCCCACTTTAAAACCCATCTCCTGTTGGTTTCTACAAATCACACCGCTTATGAGTCAGCAGCTGCTTAAAGAACATCAATGCAGAAAGCTGGGCCTACTTGTCTTTATTCTCCTATTTCTGGACTCTTGGTCCCTTATGGCCTACACGTCTTGGTGAGCCTGAATTCTAATTCTTGTCTTCTTAGCCACCTGAAAGGATCAAAAGCTCTGTTAAGCTTCTCTGCTTTTTAGCCATCACTTTCTGCTTGACTTCTCAACTTTTTGTGTTATTTGCAAAATTGCAAATATTTCAGGGGCAAAAAAATCGTAGATATTGGTCATTGGGCACATCTCAGTGAATTTTCCTTATCTCCAAGACCTTGACTCCTTAAGTCTTGGCTCTCTTGGTAGCTCTCTGTTATCTTAAAGCAGATTATTCGAATATGACTTTTCTAGTTATTCTTGGGAGGAAGATTGACCTGTTATAAGCTAGGTCATCATAGCTGGAAGTGGAAGTAACCCGTAGATGTGTGTGTGTGTGTGTGTGTGTGTGCTATCAGCATAGGTGAAGTCTTAATTTATGAGGTTGTGATTGATTTGACCAACAAAACTTGTAACTGTTATTTCCCCTGATAATTGGTCAGAGTAGAGAAGTTCTCATCTAAAATCACAACTGTCATTAAGCTGTGACTTGTTTCCTCTCTTTTCCAGGATTTTGTGTCATGTATTGAGAACTACAGAAGAAGAGGGCAGGAACTATATGCATCTTTATACAAAGATCATGTGCAGGTAATAAACAAGCTCTTTTCTCTGCACAGAAGACTGGAATCTATCTTGAATCTGAAATAAAGAATCAGAAAGGCCTTTGGTTTAAATTCTAGTTGGCTAAGTCAATAATTGCTCAGCAGTGATTCAGTTCTCCTTGCATGACTTGTGCAGTGGATTTGGACCCATGCTGTGAGCAGCTGAGGAGACAGGTAGCATGTTTGTCCTCTCATCTACTAATTCATCCACTAGTAAATAGGTGTCAAGAGCCCAGGGTGCCTCAGACCCTGTGCTGTGAGCTAGGGGCACAATTGTACAGAGAACAGACATGGGCCTCACTCTCTAGTAGCTTCACTCTACCTCTATGGAGGGATATAAAATAGCTGCACAAATAAATAGATCATTATTACTTATGATAAGCAAGAGACATGGCAAATAAAGGTACAATGAGAGATTATGATGTGGGGAGAATTTAACTTGGGCAGATCAGAGGCCCCCTCCAAGAAAGTGACCATTAAGTTGAGATCTGAAGGAGGAGGAAGATGGGCTGAAGTATTTTGAGGATGTATCTTTGGCTAAGGGAGAACATGTGGGAAGGTCCTGATCAGGAAAGAGCTGGATGTGGCCAGTTAACTGGAAGAAGAAGTGACTGGGTGACCTGAGCTGGGGACGAACAAGGGTGAAGATGAGGCATGACCAGAGCACACAGGGCTTGCTGCCACCTTAGGACTTTTGCATTTTCTCTGAAATGCAAGGGGTCACCACTCATCAGGGCAGATTTAAATAGTTAAAACACCTCTCTAGGTGTGATTTCTGGACAGTCGGAATAAAGAGCATTGTCTGTCATGCCAATGAGATCTCTGGTTGAGTCTCGGGTCTGCCTCTTCCCATGCGTGCAGTCTGAACCTCAGGGTCCCCATCTCCAAGACGGGATCATACTGCTAACTGTGAAGATTAAAGAACAAGTGTAGAGCACCCAAAAGTAGCTGGAAGGGAATACATGTGTGGTTATGGAATGGCCAAGAAATTCATCTTTAGTCAATGTTGTTGTTAACAAAATGTTGTTTAAAAATAGTTGCTAATAATAGAGCACAACATATAGTATTAAAACCTGACTAAATATATTATTTTCTTTATGATTTCTCTGTTCCAAAGACTTTGCTAGGTATAGGAAAAGTGAGATTATAATGCCACTGCTGTGCCTGAAAGATTCTTAAAACTCAGTAGAGGGATTGAGAGTAGAGAAATAACCACAAGCAAGGTGATGAAGTCAATAGTAGGATGTTCTACTCTAAAGAGAAGAGCAGTAGGGTGTAAGGGACCATGGGCTATGCCTGGAGTGAGGGGCCAAGGAAGGGTGAAACAGTGGTGCCCAAATGTCAGGGAAACAAAATAGGCTCTGATCAACTTAAGCCAAGTTACCTGGTCTAATTCTCTCTCTATAAGCTCATTTAGGAGCCCCCATATGGCCCTGGGACTAGGGATTCATGAGATGGGCAGCCTGGGCCCCAGAAACATGCAGGTTAGCAACACAGTCTCTGTGGCTATTCTGTAAGGAGGGGGGCAGTTTATCAGACTTGATGGGGGTGGAAGAGGAGTCTGGGGGACTACAGGACATGCTACTGTCAAAGCAATCACGAGGCATTCTGGTTTCTCTGGCAGCACAGGCTGGTCTTAAACAGACTCTCATTCTGGAGAAGGGCCTCATCAGGGGCATCTCCCCAACCCCAACATTGCTGACTGCACTGCACAGTGGGATGGGTGCCCTGCTGGCTTATTTGCATGTTATCTGTGCCCCTCGGACAGACCCTTGCATATCCAGTGTCCCACCATTTGTATTCACTGACTTCTTTCAGGACAAGCAACATGGCTAATAAATTCAATTGTTATTGGGGGAAAAATAAGATGAATTGTTTAGGATTGCATTCTTTATTTATGGACATCCTTGTCACACTTGTTCCATTTCAAGACAGAGGATGTTGTTTTTTTAAACGTCCAAATCAGCATCCAGTCAAGAGTGTGAGCATCTCTCTTCTTATGGTTGGAAGAGCCTGGGTGATTTGCTTATGGCTAGGAGAGATGTGCTATGTGGTATTTTGTAAGTTTCTGCTGGAGTTTTTGAGATTGAAAGTTCATGCAGGGAAGAACAGAACCTCAGCAGAGGCTCTGAGCCCAGAAGGAAAGTATCCAGCCTTCTAGAACATTGGCCTGGCTCATTTTCAGCAGCGGGCCTGAATGGGGTTCAGAGAGTACTTGATAAAGCTGTGTAGAGTTTTACTGTTTGAGGTATTTTTGAGAAAATCAGCATTTTGAGGATAATCCATAAGGATACTTTCCAAGTGTTTAAATATTTAAGACAGATTGTTTCAACATTTAAAGGAATGCAGAGGTAATCACCTCTGCCAGAGATAATGGGGTCTGGAGAATCCTCCCTGCTTTCATAAGGGGCAATACATTTTCCCAGTGAAGGCCCCACTCCACTTCCAAAAAAGCCTTGTCCAGATTCTGTAAAGAGATCAGACTTGTGAAACCTGCCATGTTCTTCAAGGACAGCTTCTCCCAAGTGTACTCAATGAGGTCTCCCCAGGAGGGTGGTGCTAGTGAGACTCAGGGATTCTGGCCCCACAGGGCTCACAGTAATAGGTGGTGTAAGACTTCTCTACCTTGGCATTTTACTCACAACTGAGAGGTCTCTGCAGATGGCAGGAGCCCACAGCATGACAAGGTCACATTACCCAATGCCCTGGAAGTAAATCCAAGCATCATTATATCCCATCATTATATTACCAGTAAATCAGGCAATTCTAATATTCAGTCTCCCCAGGTTCTTGTCACTCCAGAAGTACTGGCAAAAACTGTTTCCTCTGGCCCTGCCCAGATTCCCCTTTGCCTTTTCCACATTATATTTGTTCTCTTCCCTATGGTCCAGCTGCTCTGGTTCTGCTCTGTTGTATGCCCAGACTGTCCTGTTCTTATGGGGAGTCCTTACCATAATGTGCAGAAATGCCTCATTCTTTCTGTGATGTGTTTAAGACATTCCAGGCTTTCCTGGTTAAAGCTCTTTGCAAGAAGTCTTCCATCCCAGAAGTAAACTTTCTTTTAGTATGTGAGAGTATCTGTCGCGCTCTTAGGTTCTCTAGGGGCCAACAGGCTGTTGCCATTTCTTGCTCAGTTTCTGTATATCCATCAAGTGTTTGTCACAGCTCTTTCTTTTTTTTTAATTTAAATTCAATTAGCCAACATATAGTTCATTAGTTTCAGATGTAGAGTTCAGTAATTCATCAGTTGCATATAACACCCAGTGTCATTACATCACGTGCCCTCCTTAATGCCCATCACCGAGTTACCCCATCCCATCACCCACCTCCCCTCCAGCAACCCTCAGTTTGTTTACTATAGGTAAGAGTCTCTCATGGTTTGTCTCCCTCTCTGATTTCTTCCCATTCAATTTTTCCTCCCTTCCCCTATGATCCTCTGCACTGTTTCTTACGGTCCACATGAGTGAAACTATATGATAATTATCTTTCTCTGATTGATTTGTTTCATCCAGCATAATACCCTCCAGTTCCATCCACATGGATGTAAATGGTAAGATTTCATCCTTTCTGATGGCTGAGTAATATTCCATTGTATGTATATGTATACACACACATACATATCACATCTTCTTTACCCATTCATCTGTCGATGGACATCTTGGCTCTTTCCAAAGTTTGGCTATTGAAAAAATGCTCAACATCCCTTGGCATCAGGGAAATACAAATCAAAACCAATGACATACCACCTCACACCAGTCAGAATGGCTAAAATTAACAAGTCGGGAAACAACAAGTGTTGGCGAGGATGCAGAGAAAGGGGAACCCTCCTACACTGTTGGTGGGAAGGCAAGCTGGTGCAGTCACTCTGGAAAACAGTGTGGAGGTTCCTCAAGAAGTTAAAAATAGAGCTACCCTACGACCCAGCAATTGCACTACTGGGTATTTATCCCAAAGATACAAACGTAGGGATCTGAAGGGGCACCTGCACAACAATGTTCATAGCAGCAGTGTCATAGCTCTTTCAAAGGCAAATATCAGAAACTCAGCTCAAACTGGCTTAGGTAGTAAATGAACTATTATGTCGTACTAAAAAATCTAGGGGAAGCAGTCTTCAAGAAGAACTGGATCCAGGTACTCAAGCTCTGTTTTAAGCAGTCAGTTTCCTCTCTCTCCCTCTTCCTTTATTTCACACACTCCCACACCTCCCCCCACATTCACATCAACACACCCACACACCTATGTATGAGATTCCTACGACATCAAGGCGCCCATGAACATGGATGAGGAGCATGTGAGCTGAGGTGAACTCACACTCTGCTCCTCAGTCTGTGCATCCTAGAAGTAGGCAGCGTTCATGTAAAGCCTGGGAACCACTAACTGGTACAAAGGCCGTGTCTTCTTGCTGAACTCATGCTTGTGGGCTGTCTCTGCCTTAGGGGGCACCGCTGATGCACACAAAGGCACCCTGGCTCGGGGCAGGTGGTCAGACCGTGTACCCATACATCCACCTCTCTGCACTGTCTGCTCCCGATGGACTGCAGAGAGCCCCATTCTGAGTCCCGGGGAATGATGCGCATTAGCCCATCCTATAATCATCCTCCACCCCTTGGATTAGCCAGACTTAGATGCCCTTCAAAACTGAAGCCAGGGCTGGGCTCAGCCCCTGCAAAGCATGGGGGACCAAAAGAAGGGAAGGGCTGGTTGCCCAGAGGAAAAGCTCATCGATGCTACCCAAAAGTTTCCATTCAGCCCCAAATCATAGCTACCTCTAACATACCAGAAACCCTGCCTCTGAGTCTCTGGTGTGGCATTTGGCTCAAGCTTTAAACTGAAAGAGGACCTTAACCTGGTGCAGAACCATGGGCATGATAGAGCACCCTTCAGGTGTGGGAACTCAGGGCTTTTGCTCTTTGGACGTCTCATGTCCTCTGTCCTGGGACTACTTGTAGATTTCTATCATGGACTAAACACTCACTCATCTCTGGGGGGTCTCACCACTGACACATATCTGTCTGGCCACAGGTATTCCAGACAACTTATTTGCCCTGTGATGAAGACTCAGGCAGCCGTGAACCCCCAGGCTGTATAGGTAGATCTTTTGGGGTGAAGAGGATACTCTTAAAAGACTAATTTTAAGGCCAGGGTGAACATTGTTTGCCATTGCTCATCCTCTATGAAGCTCTATAGGTTATTCCAAACCCAGCAGCAGTCTCCAGGGAGCTGAAATATTTTCCCCAAATGAGTATTCATTTCATATAACCTAATCCCTATAAAAGGCTTTGGACAGACATTATTTTTCTGGAGTTCCTTATTAACCAGTCAGAGTATTATGTAAAATGCTGTAACCGTTTTGGATGTGAATTTAAGAACTGTGGAGAAACAAAGTGATCTTGCTTTGAAATAGGATTTGCTTTATTCACAGTAATAATACTGTTCATGAGGCAAGTCACCATATAAAACTCTTGAAAATATTGTCTCATTTAAGCCCTACATAAACCCATGGTTTTATTATTATTGTAATATTATTAACTGCATTTGATGAGGGGGCTTCAGCTTCCTAGACTACTAGGGAACAGCATAAACATCATGACAACCCAGGTTCATCTGACACCAAAGACCATGGACTAAGCACTTTATTGTCTGTTATATATATATTTTAAGATTTTATTTATTTATTTGAGAGAGAGAAAGAAGGAGAGCACAATCAGGGGGAGGAGCAGAGGGAGAGGGAGAAGCAGACTCCCCACTGAGCAGGGAGCCTGACGTAGGACTCGATCCCAGGACCCTGAGATCATGACCTGAGCTGAAGGCAGACACTTAACTGACTGAGCCATCCAGATACCCTGTCTGTTATATTTTTCATGGGAATTTTCTAGTTCCAAGAATGATTTACCTGTTCCAAATGTCCCAGGTTTATAGGGCCTAGCTCTAAGTCTGCCATGCCAGTCTTTGAAGTAGTAGCATCAGAAATCATGAGTTAATAGAATGACGTTAGGCCCTCAGGAAAGGAACTAGCAGGCAGGCTTAAGCAGAGGTTTTGGATTCAGATGGACTGGGTTTGAATCTCAGCTCTATCACCTGGTGATCTTTGGAGAAATCATTTCTCCTCTCCCAAACTTGATTTCTTTATGAGGTTAATAGAAATTCTTAGAAGTTTGAAGTTTCACTCATGGTGCCACTGGGTAGAGGAAATGAGATACAGCAGGTGAGGGGCTCAGCCCTAATATATGATAATGATTTTTTTTCTCTTTATGTTAAGTTTATGAGATCCATGCTTCTTGTCATTAATGCTTTCACCTTTCAGTTTTCTGAAAACTTAAAATCAAAATATAGGGCAAATACCATTAAGTATTTGAATAATTGGAAAAGTTCACCCTGCAGACAAAGCTGATTCCACTGTTGAAACTGACAGGTGTCAAAGTTCTCTTGTCAGGTGAGGTCCAAAACTTCAGTGTGGCATACAAAAGCAGTTTAGGGGTGTATTTTATAGAAGGTTTGAGTTACACTGTAGCAAAAGGTGTGACAATGTAGTGTCACATATACAGACTATGAAGATTTCATAGGTAAGGGATTATTTTCAGTAATATCAAAGGTTTTAGCTTGTATGAACATTCTAGAATTCTTCAACATTCTAGAGTCCTATGATATTAGGATTTAAAAGACCCTTAGACAATATCTAGACCAAACCTCTTATTTGTCAGTTGGAAAATCTGAGGTCCAGAGACATGAATGACTGTTCAAATCTACCAGTTGTTGGCAGATCTGCTAATCCCCCACACCTCCAGTCCAGACACTGACAGGAGTATCCTCAGCATCATTTTTGAAGGATAGGGTCTGTGGTAAAATTCCTTGTCCATTTTGAAGAGTAGGGACTGTGGTGAGATTCTGTGTTCTGTTTGTAAAATAGCTGTCCAGTCTACTCTGATGAATAGTCTTAGGACCTTTGGGACCAGTTGTGCTCTGCACAGCACCCAGCAGTCACATTGCTCTGAAGGCCAAAGTGCATATGGTTTTCTCCTCCTCCAACCTGGATTAAATGGTCTCAAAGCTAAAAAACTGGTCTTTTTTCCTGGCCTGTTCCTGGCTCCAGAGTACATTACACACCCTCAGGGTGCTCAGGGCCACCTAGAGGGGGTTATTTTTCTCGAACAATTAAGAGGGCTTGGTCTGTTCACCCCCCAGAGGTTTGGGGCCAAGCCCACAAGGAAATGTGTATAGGAGTGACCCTGTACTTCTGCTTCCCAGAGACAGAGATGTGACAACATCAAGGCAGCCAACGCCTGGGCCAGGATTCAGGAGCAGCTTTTTGGGGAGCTGGGCTTGTGGGGCCGAACGGCAGAAGCCACACTTTGCTCCAGGTGGGAACTGGACTGGAGAGAAGGACCAGCTCGCATGAGGAAACGCATCAGACGCTTGTCTCCACTGGAGACCCTAAGTCCAGAAAGGCTCAAGGTAAGAGTTTGATGCAGCAAAACAATGATGCTTCCAAGCAGGAAATGTGTAGGGAAGTGTCTCCTTTGCTTTTCCTTCTCATGTTCCTTTCATCAAGAGTGCTTTGGGAATGCTTTGGCATGGGCAGGCAGGAGAGATCATGTGCACAGTTAAATGTAGGAGTGCTGTAATTTATTTTTGATGCCATTTAACAGAAGAAAAGAAACACTCTTTCTCCCTGGTACATAGAAAGGATGCTCTAACTACAGCCTGATTGAATAAGTAAATGAGTGAATGAATGACTAGTGGAGTGGTTCATACTGACACCACTAACCCAGTATCACACCGACATCCACAAAAATCCAGTGGGATAATCTGGACATCAGTGTTTGCAAAGAGCCAAGTGATGGCCATTGTCTGTTTGTACAAATTATTTACCATGGAGCAGTCATAACCAGCACTGCTATGGGCATTATTGTACAATCAAATCTCGTAATGAGTTTTACAGTGGAAATATCTTGAACTTGGCAATTTCTGCAAGCTTGAGCCCATGACCTGTGTAATCCAAACAGCACTGAGGCCATATTGGATTCCCAACCAACGGAATCTAGGTAGTCCCTGGGAGTTTGCTGTGATGAAGTTTGAACTCTGTGTCGTCAAACTGACAGTGTTGCCTTTTAAAGAATGGGGAACCAGTTGGATTAGGAGTGGATATGGAAAAATCTGTTAATAGTTCTTTCATGTCCTCGTTGAACAATTCTGATTCAAGATATTCTAAAAGGCAGCCTTCCAAACACTGGAATGCAAGCCATTTCGTTCTACATTCAGGTTTATTCTCTAGTCTGTAACCTCAGGATCTTTTATCCACTTTAAATCCTTTATAAAACTTAATGAAAAAAATTATATTTCATTTATTCAGTAGACACTTGAATTTTTAATGTACTATCAATAAACCTCTGGTTTTATGTAGTATTTTTCCCTCAATACATTCCTTAGGAAGTGGAGGCAGGAAAAATAAATATCCTGCCCTCTCTGCTAGTGACAAAGTCAAAAGCTGGCTAGCAAACCTGGTCTCCAGTCTCTCAGGCTGCCCAGCCCCAGATCCTGTGCCTGGTCCCCTCTCCAGGGTGGCCCATACCACAGACATCTAGGATGCTATTGAATCCCATTTTGGCATCATCTTTGATAATTACTGTAAGTCCTACTTAATGGAAGATTGTGGGTTTTTTCCCCTTTGACTCGGGACCATGAATACTTGCATTTTATTGTGGTCCTTTAGGATTTAGCATCCCTCCCTACTTGCATCTAAGACTCTAGTATATGAGTAATTCCAGGGGGTCACGTGCATGTGTGTGTGTTTATGGGTCTGTGTGATGGGGTGGGGGGCACAGCGTAGTCTTCAGGATTTCATTTCTCTTTTCTCTGGTTTTATTTCAGGAAAACCAAGACAGAAATGGCAATGTTTCAGAAACAGATGTTGAAAAGCAAGGTATTCCATTTATCAGTTTACCTATTTTTCATTCGTAATTAAACGACTTCTTGGTTTTATTTAATATGAAATTAATATTTTGAAGAAGAAAATGCTGCCAGTCTAAAGTAGGTGATGCTAAGACTCTTTTCCTTACTGTGCTCTCCAGAATGAGGAGGAACCTATTCCAGACCTTGGCTCTCTGTTAGGCAAAGAATTTTATGTTAAGGCTGTAACAGTAAGAATTTTATCTTGTCAATTTGCTATATCAGAGAGATCTTAAAAGTGTCCTCAAGTAATACAAATACACGCTCAGTATGTGACCCAAAATACATGGGAAGAAAATGCTTTAAGTTAAAAAAGAGTAAAAGAAATATTTAGTACTTTTTACACTGAATTCTGATTATAAAAATGACAGCTACAATCGTCATTATTATTTCCCAGGCTAAAAAAAAATACTTTGAATCATTTTTGATGTTTACACTTACTCTTTATTTGTAAAATTCTCATGGAGGAATTTGGTTTGAGTTGGCTTGCTGGAAATTCAGGGTTTATTTTCAGAGGTCATTTGGCATGAACACATCCAAACATACATGCACACACACACACAAATACAACCTGCAGACACACACAGACATATGCACTCTATTCCAGATTTTATGTTTCTACCAGACCGTGCCTTTTTTCTTCAAACACTCCCTGTCTGTGAGTTTCATTGTCTCCTGAGGTGTAGCTAGTGTGGTATCCTTAACCAAATGACAACTTCTGAGTGCTGATCTAACTTGTCTCATTTAGCACCTGAGTACTAGATTTTGCATTGAGTGTGCTGTCTTGCCAGTCTGCAGTAATAGCGCCCAGATGTGAGGGTGCTGGGCCCCGATCCCAGGTTGATTTGGGGGTCCCACTGTGGCATAGGACTTGGGATAATGTCATAATGCCCATTTGCTTCTCTTCTCTTTACCCCAAGCCCCACATCTCCAAGAACAGAGGGGGAGTCTGCAGAGATCATGGTGGTGGAAAGCATGTGCTGGTGTCCTGTGGGCATGGGCTGCTGAATCTCCTCGTCCCAATATACAGACCCCTGCCCCAGTAGGGAGCTCAGCCAGGGAAGAAGAAGAAAAGGCTTATGGTTCTCCCCTGTGCTTTCCTGGGTGTCTGTATATATACAGTGTTCTCCCCGCATGGGGAAAAGCCTGTGGTGGCTGTTGCTGTAAGCAGCAGACACTTCCATTCATCCGGTTGGGAGACTCCCAGGTGGGGAGGAGCTCAAAGAAGTGAGCATCTTAGCACAAAGAAAATGGCCAGTAGCCCCTCAGCTTTGCAGTCATATATGCCTCCTTCAGGCGAGTGGACATCGAGGACAGGGCGGGGGAGTAGGATCCAGAAATCATGTAGGTCTGCGCTCAGCAGGCACCCAAATGTCTGTGCCCAGGATTGCATGCTTGGGAAATAAGTCTAGGTGTGCACACGCATGACCGCAGCACAGTGCGTTCATGGTAGAAATAGAAACTATTTGTGCCTCCAAAAAATTGGAGATGGATTAGGTGATTATGAAAGAACCACACAATAGAATGTTATACAGCCGTTTTAGGTGAGTTCAAAGAGCTTTAAATGGAATGAGAAAGTGTTCCTAATATAGTCTTAAAAAATTCTAGAAAAGATCGGTGCCTGGGTAGCTCAGTCAGTGAAGTGTCTGCCTTCGGCTCAGGTCATGATCCCAGGGTCCTGGGATTGAGCCCCACATCGGGCTCCCTGCTCAGCAAGGAGTCTCCTTCTCCCTCTCCCTCTGCCACTCCCCCTGCTTGTGCTCTCTCTCTCTCTCTTTCTCTCTGTCAAATAAATAAAATCTTCTTAAAATTTCTAGAAAAAAACTATAGATGCAGCATAATTCCTATCATGTCAAAAAATCACGCGCGTGTGTGTGCACGCACACACATGCACATGCATATACATATACGTTTGGAAAAGATATTAGAAGTGAAGAACTTGTTCAAACTGTGAACAGGGAGGAGAAACAGACTTAGTTCAGATTCGGCCTCTAGTTCTTTGTGACCATATGACTTTGAGCAAAGTAATTAGCCTCTTTCACTTTTCCCTGATTGTGAAGGGAGGTTGAAATAGAATCCACAACCTGATAGGAGTAGATGAAAAAAATGTCATCAAAAGCATCCAGCACAGAGAAAGAGCTTACTTACTACATCCGAGCTGTTGTTATTAGTACTATATCTGGGTGCATGAGTGATACTTGTTTTACTTCTCAAATATTTTAAATTTATTCTCACAATTTCATGGGTTTTCCAAGTTTTGTTTTGTTTTTTTACACTAAGATCATAGTGCATCCATAAACTAGAAAAAAATAGAAAAAAACCCCACTCTTTTAAAAAAATGAATAAAGTGAAGTTCAGAAAGAAACAGATTCTAAATGACCCTAGAAGGAATTTCTCTACTGATTAATAAGGGTGAATTTTGAAGTAGTGCCCCATAGTCACACTGGAGCTGCAGAGCAGCCAGACCTGGGCACACCTTCCAGAGTGAATCAACCTAACAGTGTGTTGACTGCACCACAGAGTCAGAGAGGTGACTCCCACTTTCAGACACAGTGAGGGACATGCTGAAATCCACACCACTCACCGCTGCCCTGAAACCTTGCAGTTTCTCTCAGTGACTCAGGCCCATGCTGTGCACCATCCCTCGAGAGGTCAGGTGGCTTGTGCCAAAAATGTGTGTCCCTTTATACTGCTGCAGATGAGCTGACACCAAAGGAAGCCGAGAGCGGGAGAGAGGAGGTGGCAGTGGACTGCACCCAGCTGACCTTCTTCCCTGCCTTACATGAAAGTCTGCACTCTGAAGATTTCTTGGAACTGTGTCGGGAAAGACAAGTTATTTTACAAGAGCTCCTTGATCATGAAAAGGTAATACAGCACATCATGATTCTTCTTTAAAGATCATCAGACATGAGATCAAGCTTTCTTCATTCACATGGGAGGTGATGTTTCTCTTCACAAAAAAAAAAAAAAAAAAAAAAGAGCAAAAAGAGCAGGCATGCTTCTAAATTGGTGGGCCCAGAGCAAGGGCACAAATGGAAGCTGACAAACCCTGCATCGAGATGTTTAAAAGATATATATCAAGGGGCACCTGGGTAGTTCAGTTGGTTAAGCGTCTGTCTTCAGCTCGGGTCACGACCCTGGGGTCCTGGGATCGAGTCCCACATCGGGCTCCCTGCTCAGCGGGGAGTCTGCTTCTCCCTCTGCCTGCCGCTCCCCCTGCTTGTGTTCCCTCTCTGTCAAATAAATAAAGTCTTTTAAAAAAGAGATCTAAATCAAGCTAATACACTGTCATGAAATATGGTCTACCTTCCAACACTGACCTTTATATAATACCTGGAAGACCAGTTTCGGATTTAAAATTCTTGATCTTGTTGTCTGGCACCTTGGGCCCCTGCCTGCAGTCTGACCACCTTGAGGGATCCATCCTGCATTGGATGTGGATGTGTTTGGACACTCAACTTATATGTCCAGGCTTTGCCTAGACTCTCACCCTGACACCAGCCTCCCCTGGGCCCCCACTCAGGCCTAGGGGTGAGCATACTTGTGGCCTTGTCAGCCCTCAGCAGGGTAGACCTGGAGAAGATGAGTGCATGGGCCAAGGGGCAGACTGGACAGTTAGCAGGGAAGTCTGCAGTCTGGATGCAGGATGCCTGGAATGGGGTTGAAGGACCCACCGCATGGCCCCCTGCTATGACTGGAAAAGAGCTGGAGGAATCCCTAAAGTATGGATGCAGCAGAGGATTTCTCTTACCCAAATCTAAGAAAGGGATGAAAGATGAAGCTTATGTCTTAGAGTGAAACAGACCTGAGCTCAAATCCCAATTTGGCAACATACTAAATTTCGTGTTATCTAACTTTTGTGAGCCTCAATTTTTCTTATTTTAATAGGGAGTGTAGAGCGACCATTTCACAAAATTCTTGTAGAGCTAAAATGGGATAATAGAAGCAAAGAGACTTGCTCAGAGCTGGGCACATATGAGGTAACCCACTAAAGACCAACTCTCTTCCCTTGCTAAAGGTTGGGTGGTTTAAGGGCCTCTGAGTCTCACCCACTGACTCTTCCATTCATGATGTAAGCGAAGGAGATGCACTGGCAGAACAGATGAGCGGGCAGGGCGTGGCCCAGAGGCCATGCAGGAACTACACAGAGAGAAATGTGTGAGAGCTGAGGGCCAGTCTGGTGGATGAGAGTGGATCCAACCTAAGGGCCACTGAGTAAGCAGCCTGGATTTCCAGGAGCAGGTGCCAAGCTCAGCGAGTCTGTGAGGGGCATCAGCAGGTGCAGAAATGAAGTATGTCCTTTCCAGGGCCGGGTTCCTTGCAGAGACTCCCTGGGGTGTGAGGCTGGGATTTGCTCCTTGCAGGGGTTGGATAGAAAGGGGCCAGATTGAAGTGCATTGCCAGATGGTTAGCAGCACTTTTATCAAGTTTCTTAGCTGCTCTCAGACGGGAGTCACAGTTTAACCAACACAGTCTTGTAACAGTGTCATCCTTCTTACACCTGCTTAACCCAAAGCTTCCAGGCATAGAGCACATCTGCAATCCCAATCACACCTTGCTACCATGACTTCGCTCATGCTGGTGCATCTACCTGCACCGCCCTGGCTGCTGACTCTCTGAAGCCGATCTCAACCGCTTCCCACTCTGGGACCTGGGGTACCTGCAGTCTCCATTGCCCCCTGCATCACCCCCTGCCCTTGCTCCAGGCACACAGACTAACCTTCCCCACTTCACCTGTCTGCCTGTCTCCCTGCACTGGTGCTCCTTAGCAGAGGGACCACTGGGTACCTAACCTCAGGCATGCCTGGAGTAGACGTTCAGTAAACAGTGATGAATGAAGATCCGTTAAATTCATGTTCATTTTATTTTGATTATAGAAGTAAAGTATGTCTACTTTGTAAAATATTTAAAAATGGAAATCAAAACATCTCTACATATACATATACATTTATATACTGTGTGGTATTCATAATGCCCAGCTGCTGAGGACTAACAGCTGATAATGGTTTGGATGTATCAGTATAATAGCGTGTTCATTTAGAAATGCTTATTTAGTAAATGTGTAATCAATTGAAAAACAGCTAGGAGATTAATGTTTTCTTTCTATAAAAACTTTTCTTTGCCTAATGCCCTTAAAAGATTATATAAAACAGTGATTCTCAGCAGGGGACAGCTTTACCCCCAGGCAACATTTGCCAATGTCTGGAGACATTTTCAGGCTCATGAGTTGGCGGGGAGGGATGCTATTGACCTCTGGTAGGCAGAGACCAGGGATGCTGCTAACCATCCTACAAAGCTCCAGACAGTCCTGCCCTCCACCAGAAAATAAGTATTCAGTCCAAAATGTCTATAGTGTTAAGGTGGGAAACCATAATAGGAAGGATGCATATTAAGCAGATGTCACATTCAGCTATCCCCTCCTACTTTCATGATAGGGTAAGGAAATATTGGATTGTATGTGTCCATTTTGATTATTTTCATCGTTTTGATAAGAACAGATCAATGGCAATGCTTTGCTTTTGCTGTGTATATTGATTTTCTGTTGCTGCCATAACAAACTACCAGAAACTTAGTAGCACACATTTATTATCTCAAAAGCCCCAGCACAACAGGCTCCACTGGTCCTCTGCTTAGAGTCACACAGGGATGAAAGCAAGGTGTTGGCAAAGCAGCATTTCTTTCAAGAGGTTCTGGAAATGAATCCATTTTCAAGCTCATGCAGGTGTTGGCAGAATTCAGTCCAATGCTTTCATAGGACTAAGGTCCCTGTTCCTTTGCTGCCTGTCGGACAGGGATCGTTCTCAGCTTCTAGAGACCACCCACATCCCTTGCCTTGTGGCCCCCTCCTCCATCCTCAAAGCAGGCCACTGTAGGTCAAGTCCTTTCCCCCTTCAGACCTTGCCGGCCCCCTTCTGCCTCCCTGTCATCACATTTCTCCCACCAGCCAACTCTTCTGCCCTCTTCTGCTAAGGGCTCATGGGAGTACATTAGATCCACCAGGTCATCTAAGACAATCTCTCTATTTTAAAGTCTGCTGATCTATACCTTAATTTCTTCTGCAGGTTCTTTCAAGCAGCACCTAGATTAGTGTCTGATGGGAACATCAGGGACAAGGTTCTTGGGGGACGCTTTGGAATACTGCCTGCCATTTAGTATCACTCCAGATCCATATCCTACCTAATCCATGTCCTCACCTTCCAAGGGGAGCTTCTGTGGGTGGCCTGGCTCCCATGTACTTCCCAAGGCCAGCCTGGTGGTTCCAGCCCTAACTGGGCTGGGCTGAGGGCAACACCTGGGGTTTACCATCACAGCCAAGAGCTAGTCTTAGCCCCAGTATATGCAGCAGGTAGATGACCTTGGTAACTGTCCTGGTCTCTGAGAGTTTTATTTTTGCTGGTTGTCCTACTCAGTGGCATTTCACTCAGGGGTCGTGTTGGAGGTGGTGGGGGGCAAGAGCCTGAAGCCCACAGGTGACTGACTTTGCCAGCCCCCAGGAGGCAGGACAGGACCAAGAAGAGACTGTTCTCCCATCCTCCCCTGTCTTGTACTTAAACTTCAGTCTTTCTTGGTCTCCATGTCACACAGCAGGAAGCTGTCAGAAGCACCATACGTGGCTTGTTGTGGTAGCAGGGATCTCCAGGCTGTGCAGACAAGAGCATGCCGAACCCAGCAGGGGCTGAGAACGAGAGCAGTCCTGTTTCCACTTAGCACTTGGTGTATCCCTTGCTTGCCTGGAGGGGACAGCCTGGGGGTAGGGGCCCAGACGAGTGTCAGCTCCTTAGAACCAGAGACTGAGCAGTTGTAAGGTCAAGGTGATTCCTTGCCGTTATCTGGACATTTGTTCTTTGCACAAGTTGTTTTGATTCACTTCATTGGGTTGTTCTTGTTGCCTCTGGTTTCATGGTAAATTATGGGAGAGGTTATTTCCCACTTCAGCCTGAGTTTCTCCAGGGTCAGTAGAACCAAACCACTGGATGCACTTGCTCCCTGGAGAAGGAGGTATGGGAGGAGAGCAGCCAGGGCAGCACAGGGGCAGGCTCTTGATGGTGGGGGTCGGTGGGGCGTGGGGGAGTCTGGCCCCAGCCGGGCCTGACTCCTGGGGTGCTCCTGTGAGGCAGGGTGCTGCAGGGGTGGGTGTCTGGGCATGATGTGAGACTCAAGGAGCCTGAGTGGGGCCGTTACCCTGCTGCCACGGTGGAAAATGAGGCAGAGAATCAGAGAGGAGCCCATGAGAGACCTGGCCTGCTGGGATGGGGCCCCATGGGAGTTCCTGCACCCACCACAAAATGCAACATTTTGTGAGAAAGAGGGAAGTTGGCCAGGCTTGGAGCCTGGATTGGTATATGGTGAAACAGAGGGAGTCCCTGAATTTGAAGCATGAGAGGCAGGAAGGAGCACGAGGAAGCAGGCCTCAGGAGCCCAAGGACGTCCTGGGGCAGCAGAGCAGAGTCAGGCCTAGACTAGGAGCTCTCCGTGGAGCAGGCCCCGGCTGGCTGTGGAGGGCATGGACCCACCCTGACGTGCCCCCGGCCCCACCTCCACCAGCCAGGCGCTCACAGACCACGCCCACCCACTCCCTGCTGCCTGTAGCCGAGGCCGCCTTCCGCGTGGTGTCCGGTGCATGCCCAAGCACTCTGCTGCCTCCGCCACCAGCACCGCCTCAGCACAGCGTCGAGGCTTCCTGTGGTTTCGTTACAGGCGGGGACAGGCTTGCGCTTACCCTTGTCCTTCCCTTTGCTGACATGAAGCATCTGTGCTCGGGAAGGGTCTGCTGAACTGGAGAGCACAGCTGTGTCAAGAGGGAGCCAGCCAGGTGTGCAGAGCTCAGGGAGGGGCAGATGGACTGCAGCGACAACCTGGGCCTG